CAACGACAGCATCAGTTTTGCATGGGACAAAGTATTCACCTTGTTGAGAAACAGAACCGTTAATCGCTTTGTGAATAGCATCGGCGTCAGCAGGAGGAGCGATCAAAAGAGTCGTGCCAGTATCAATGATGGCAGTCTTTTTGCTGAATCCAAGAGGTTTGCCGTTAACACTAGCATCGTCTAAAGCAATTTCCCAATAACCTGCATCACCCACAAGTTTATTATACTTAAGTTGACCAGTGAACTTTGATGAGTCAGCGCCACCAAGAGTTAATTGACTGTCGCTACCATCTTTTTGACGTCCAAGGAAGAAACCAAAAACTGAATCTTTAACGGCATTTTGTGCAACAAGCTGAGAGAAAGGTGTTTTTCCGTTTGTTGAGCTTAATTGGTCAAGACCCATTCCGAGTATTCCATCGAATTCTGTATTTTCAAAATCTTCAGACATTTTTGTTGATAGCCCGAAAGTTTGACCTTTTGCTACTGCACCAGCAATCGAAACGTCATCTACTGCAATAATTCCAGAAACCTCACCAGTACCATATCTAATTTGGAATGGTTTATTATCGCTTTTAAATCCTTTGCTTTTTTTCGGGTCAAAAGATTTATGAGCTTTACAAGCTGCATCAGAGCATTCTAATGCAGGTACCCAAAGGTCAGCCGAACCAGTATCGAAAATTACATCAAATGTTTGGTCAGAAATTTGAATTGGACCGTGATAACCAATATCCATTCCTTCGTCTTTAAGAGGATTATTGACAACCCCTTGACCGGAATTACCATTACCATTTTTTCCTTTACCAACAGGATTGTTACTACCATTATTGCTATCATTCCCACCATTGCTACCGCCGTTGCTATCATCCCCACTATTGCTGTCGCCGTTGCTATCATTCCCACTATTGCTATCGCCGTTCCCATTATTGCTATCGCCGTTGTTATCATTACCACTATTGTTGTCGCCGTTGCTATTGTTCCCAGTATTGTTGTCGCCATTGCCGTCACTCCCACTATTGCTATCATCCCCACTATTGTTATTGTCGTTATTATCATTTCCAGCATTTTCGCCACCATTATTATCGTCCCCACTATTACCATCGTCATTTCCTAATGGATCATCGCTTCCAGTATCACTGGTACTATTGGTATTTCCTTTCTTAAAACTAGTATTAATGATGAATGTTTTTGGTGCGGAATCACCAAATACTGGGGTGGAAGCAGATTCTAATTTTACGATGGCTTCTTGACCAACTAACCCATGATTATAGGCTGTTCGAATATTGTTCGAGTATTTCAATAGTGCACGATTTCTATTGATCCTTGACTTTTGCAGCCAAGTAAAATATTCGGGTAGATCATTTTTCATCAAGTTAACTTTGACTACGGATGATGAGGTGGGTGCTGCATCAACGGTTAACGATATAACCGCCGTCAAGAGAGCTAATGATGCAAAAAACTTCATTTTTATGTATTATTTTTAATTAAGAAAGGATTGTTGCGTAATTCGTGCGAGAGAGCGTATTGAAGATTTTTTTGAGGAATACGGAAAGATAGTATATATTTTTTTCTTTTTAAAAAGAAAGTTTTTACAAAAAGATAAGAAACCAGTTCAGTATCTTAATGTTATAGAAAGAAGGAGGGATCGAAGTTTTTTGTTAAGCAGCTCTTGATTGGATTTGCGACGAAAATCAAATTGAACGAAAAGACACATCTCTTTTATAGATTTGAGCCATTATTTCTTTCGTGGATGCTGATCTTCGGGTATTCCCAAGCAGCATAACAATCTGCAATGCATGCATGCATTCGGCCATTTGGAAATGAATTACATGTACTTATTTAACGCACAATACATACGATTATCTTATCATTTCTTAAAAAATACATGTATCTCATGTATCACTCAGTATATATCGATATGCAGTTTTAGTAGCATAAACGAAGTAGCTTATCATAATAATAAACGATATTGGATTATAACTCCTATCCGATTTTGTATGTGTAGTAGAAAATAATTCATATTTCAAAACTTTTGTTAGGGAGAATTAGAATAACAAAACATTGTTCCAGATCAACACCAACTGTTAATAAAATATTCGAAATGCAAAATAAGCATAATGTCTTTAATCCGCTTCAATTATATAATGCGTATATTTTATTATACCTACCGCGCATGTTATTGGGTTATTATAAACCATCTAGAGACTGTTACTTGAAAATTAAGACCGAAAGGTCTTGACTATACAAGATGCCGAAGAATTAAGAACTAATCAATTTTTTGTTTCACCTTTTTTTGAGATTTGAGGGCACAAATTTAACATATGGTGGATTTGAACAAATTTAAACAATTTCTCTCAGGCTAAATAACAGTACGTTTAGTCTGTCCAAAAGACTTTTAGACTTACCCAAATTCGCCCAGCCAAGTTATATGTTTTTAGATAGTTTTATTGGTCATCTATCATCCGTTTACTTTTAATTAAATTCTAAAACTATTTATATATTTAAACCAACAGCATTTATAAATTCGTATTATAATCTAAAAAGCTATTAATAACGAATATACTGCACATGTGTAAATTATTTATTGAAGATGAGAAATTCTTTAAATTTAATTAAATCAAGAATTTTCAATCCTTTTTTTACAGATCAATTCTTTTTGAAAAATGAGAAATTTTGTAATTACAAGTAACTCTTGTTATAGTAAATTTTTTATTTTTATTAATTGCACGGGTGGCTTCACTTATCAAGAGCACTTGTATCATTTTTCTAATATACTGTTGCTGTCGCAACGAAAAACCTCGTGATTGCTGATTTATGAAACCACAAAAGAAGTTCCATGATTCCGATCTCCAACGATACAAACCTTTATGCCCTTAATATAGATTAATTACATGTACAGTCGCCTCAAAAAGTAACGCCCGATCTGTATGTGTAACAAGATCAATAACTTTATACATGGCGTTTCCCCAATTTTTATGTCAATCTCTTCGTCAACTTCACCAAAACACTATAATAAATAATTTTTATGTGATTATGACATCCATGCGTACCCAGATGACTGACATGGAGAAGGGAAAAATACTAGCATATATGGAGAATATGAACGCTGAACAAATTGCAAGAAAGATGAAGCGTGACCCCACCACAATACGACGATTTATTGCCAAGTATAAAAAGACCAAAAAAATCGATAATTCGGAAGACCGCAAGTTCTCAACAATAGACAAAAAAATGTACTTAAACAAAAAGCCACCAAAATGCGACGCGAACCATTACACGAAATTGTGAACAGTTTAAGCCTTAACTTCAGTTTGTCAACTGCTAGGAATGTGCTGCATGACCGTGGGATTCGATCTTATATTGCTGCAGAAAAGCCATTTATTCGGAAAGTAGCGCAATTGCGCGTGTTACTTGGTGCGAAAATATAAGAAAAAAACCCCTTCCGATTGGTAGAAGATCATTTTTTCGGATGAATCGAGTGTGGAGATCGGAAAATAATCGCGACAAATAAGAGTATGGCGAAATAGAAATGAGAGGCTTAATACTGAGTGCTTATTGCCCACTTTCAAAAGTGGTTGATGCTCAGTAATGGTTTGGGGATATTTTGCAGGAGAAGCGAAAGGACCGTTAATATTTTGCGATGAATATAAAGAAAAAAAAGAAAAAATCAATGCAAATACTTATCTTCGAATTCTAGAGACTCAACTTTTACCATTTTTACCATTACACAATACATTTTGTACATTAATGGGTGAAAAAATAGTATTTCAGCAAGATAATGCCTCGATCCATACTGCAATCAAAGTTAAAAAATGGTTTGAGGAAAAGAAAATCAAGATTATGGAATTCCCCCCGACCTTAACCCTATAGAAAATATTTGGAAGCTGTTTAAGGATAATATTCAAAAGCGCGAAAGCCTTCCAAGAACCGTGGACGAGCTCAAAGCTGCCTTAAAGGGGAGTGGTCGAAATTTGATATAAATATTCTTTAGGGAGGTTATTAACTCAATGCCAAGAAGAATTAACGCGGTATTGGAGGCAAAAGGAGGCCAACAAAATATTAATTTAATTTTTTATGTATAATATAAAAAAATAAAATAAATCGAAATTATATTTTAAATTTGAAAATCGGACGTTACTTTTTGAGGCGACTGTACATCGCTTCGAAAATTCATAACTTGTGGTATCAACATTAACGTTGCCTCTCCTAACTCGCGAATTCTTCTCAGAGAATGTAAATGCAATAAAAATAATTATATTTATTGCTACCTTCGACAGATGTGGATAAGATAGAAAGACTAGGGACGGGAAGTCCATTGATTGTTAGCAAGAGAAGGTGAACGTAAACACACAATTGTAATGTTCAAGATTGATTTTTTGGTGATGAAATGTTGAATAATTTGAAATTTTCAGTTTAAAAAGTCAATTTTATGGAAATGGCTTTTCGAACATATTCCTTCAACTGAATATTTATGCATTCCAAATTTCTAAGTCTTTTTGGAACAACAATGTCTCCTGATGCAAAATATAGTATCGAGTCAACATGTTGACTCTTTCTTTTACATATGTATGTGCATAATTTATACATGCAAATGTCTAAATTTATAATCTCAAAAAATTCTGTAACCTTCTACATGTACATCTTGTCAAATAGTCACGTACTAAATGTACATGTATACAATATACATGTAATTTGTAAAAATAAGATGGTTTTAATTTATTTGTTTATATATAAATCATAGAAATTCTATGAAGGATGCTTTCATACATATCTTTTATAGACTTTCAAAAAGTCTTATGTCTTTTTTGCTAAATTGCTCATATGCAATTCGCTCAAGCAAAATCTTATAAGTAAATATTCAAAGCCGCGAAATAATAAATAGCCTTATTAGCATCGAGTCAATATTAGTATTTCCACTTGTCAGGTGAAATATCACATCGAGAGTATATTTGTAAAGTTAGTATTCCAGTTAAATTTGTTAATAAAAAAAGTCAAGTCATGAGCAATCTATTGATCGTCCGGTTTGCTTGTCTATTGTCCCAAATAGCATAATACATGTCTATAAAATCCGTTTTCATTAAAATATTCTATTTGCTAAACTTGCTTCATAATTTATATATGATTTCTGATAAAGTAAAAATTCTTTTGATGGCTGTGAATTGCGCGACCCTTAAATCACATCATGTACGAAAGATATCTGTATTTTCAGCGATTGTAGTCCAGAAAATGGACGAGTGATGATTTGATTTGATTCGATTTCTAAAATGTTCAATAAAGTTTTTAATTAAAAACTTATTAAATTGAATAATCTTTATTTTCATTCATATTGATTTTTATTATAATAAACATACTAACCACGAAAAGTTTATGTGTAAGTACATTACCAATATTCAAGGTCTACGAACGATCTATCTACGAAAATCTAATCCTAATATTTTATCTACGAAAAATCCATGTATACCATTCCATAAGATGTTAATTCAACAACAACAATTTAAAAAAATAATTGAATGAAATCATTTGACATATAGAAATTGATAATAACTCTTCGACATTTATAGCATTCAGCTGTCTGACCAGAAAATCATGATGTACATTTTCAATCAAATTTTTAATAATAGGCTATTATAATATGACAAATTTAATTTTCGAAAAATTGATTTGGTAGGAAGAAAAACTAAGCGATTCAAAATTAACTCTTGATATACTGGCGAATAAATGATAAGTTCTTGAATTATAATCATCATCTGTTGGATAAAAAGCAAGATCAACAAAGTCAAACTCATTGTTCACTTGACTAATATTATAAGTAATTATATGAAGTGCATTTATACTTTGAATTGTCGGATGGCTTGACTTTCTTTTTTAGGTTTAAATTTAGAAACCGATTTATATAATTATCAAAAATTCCACACCTTTGTCATAGTATATTTTCTTGTCTATAAACACAAAATTTGAATTAATACCTCACACCTTATGATCCTAATAAAGCTCTTCAAAGATATTATGAGGCTTGCCTATACTCATATTTATGTTCATTATCTTTGTGATATCCAGTTCATGTATAAGGTAAGCAACCAGAAATTCAGCACCAACAACATCTAATATCATATAGTTCATAGTACTCTCATGCAGTCAAATAAATCTCAGTATTGCTAATGCTAATATTCTGACTCTTGATTTCTTTTAGCAATGGGATGATAAAACCGACGGCTGTGATTTCTGAATTAGGTATATCTAAGTACATATGAAAATTATAATTATACTTATTAAGTAGCTTGCATGTGGATTCAATGTGTTTGTCACGGGCTTCCAGAAGTAAATAAATACCAAGATATCGAATCCTTGATGTTGCAGATCATTTTTAAACTACTATATTAAATAGGAGTGCTTTTTACTTCTTCGTATATTTTTCAGGCATTTCAATACAGTTACTTGGATGTGGATGGAGAAATTCATGATAGA